CTGCCCCAATCACTGGGACAATCTTGGCAGCGTCAGCCTGAAACCCAGGACAGATTTCCCTTACACAGTCCATCTTTCAACCCCCTCACCGCACCACCATCACAACGAACCCCTGGCTTCCCTGGCTCTTTTCAAGTGATGTTGCAGGAAAGGAAGCGAAGTAGCCTAGCTAGGACCAGAATGCTGTGATCAGCTTGGGCCATCAGTGGCGAAAAGGTCACTGAAGACAACGAGTGGGGGGATGGAAGTATTGCACAGAACGTTGTCCCAGAAGTCAGGGTAACGCACCCCAGGAGCTCTATTCCCGAAGGCAGAGCTGTACGAGCCACACAAACCAAGAATGAGCCTGAGCCCAAGGGGGGCCCGGTCTGCTTCTTCCCTGCGTGGCTCTCTCTTTAGGAGCTCAGTCCCCCAATTCCCCTTTGGCCGAGCAATACCTTTATTGGGTACTTTTCAGGCTAACAAGTCACAGAGAGGCTTGCTTTTTGCTTTCCGCTCTTCAGGCATACCGGCATCTCTTTTTTTCCCCTGCCAGTCAGCCGCCAGTGACCTGACCTGCTCTCGCGGGCGGTTAATGTGGCTTTGATGTTGCTGAGCTGGCGTGAGACACTAAAGAGCCCAGAGGCTTTGCCCTGCCGTGACTCTCCCGCCTCCTTCAGCCACTTGGAGAAGCAGGTGAGCACGGTGACCTCTCAGACAGTCACCAGGAGGCAGAGAGACACTGCTGCACTTTGGAGCACCAAAGGAAGTTAGCACGGGATGGAAGGGAGACGTTGAGGACTAGCATCACGGATAGGCCTCGGGGGCATGCAGTGGGCGAAACTGGAGAATGAGCCAATGTCAAATGTGCAAGAAGCACAATTAGGGGGGGGGGAGACCCTGAGCAGAGTTGATGGGCGTCAGCGACGGTGGCTGTGCCGACAGTGGGCAAACAAAGAGATGGGCAGCTTGGACTGTGGGATGTCAGAGCCGAATACAGGCTGGGGCTTTGCGGTCTCTGCCAGGGACAAGACAGTGGAAGCGCCCGAGTCAGTAGCGTCAGGTTCGGTGGAGGTATGGGCGGATGTGATACCCCCACCAGCTATACACAGCGGTAGGATTGGAGGCAATGTAGGGTGGTAGTGGGTGTCTCAAAATGGAAGGAAGGGGTGAAAGAAGTCAGGGTGGGGGAGGGTGGCAGGCCCCGAGAACTGGCAAACAGAGATGGCAGCTCGGCAGCAAGGGTCGGCCCTCACGGTGCCACGGACTGCTGAGGCCAGCAAGAGGCTTGGGTGGTGTTGCCCTCAGGGAAGGGACAGGCGGTTGATACCGTGGTGCCAGCACGGGCTGGTGCCAGATGCAGCCACGATTATTCCCTTTGGAGCGCCGGGCTCAAAAGGCTATTGGCAGTGCCGGGCTCGTCCATATCCGGATTATTCCCCTTTGTTGCAACTCGAGTGAGTGCACTGTTGCCAGGGAGGCTCGAAGGAGGGTTCTGGCATGAGGGGCAGTGAGGGCACAGCACCCAGAGATGCCCCCGATGCACTTTCCTGACTCCCATCAGATAAGTTTTCTGTCTTTCAAGAGATGCCCGGCAAAATGCGTTCTCCCTTCTGCCATGCCACAGACCGCAACAGCACGGCACGACACGGCGCTCCGGCAGACACCCGGCATCGTGTTTGCACACAGTGCCTGCCCACCCTGTCTCCACTGAGAGCTGTAGAGATGCTGGGGACTCTGTTCCTGATTCCTGGAGCCAGGGCAACTGGGCACCGAAGGCTGGCCTGGGTCAGGTCCCTGTCCAGGAGGAAACTCCGGGAGCCGCAGCCCAGGGGTTGCTGCTCCAGAAGGAAGTTTAATAAGAGACCCTCCTGCTCTCTTCGCGCCACCTGACCGGTGCCCATCCCACGCCAGCCAACTGCTGGTCATTGCAAAAAGCACCACTGACACCCTCCTCACACACGCTGCGGGCCGTGCGGTCTCTTACCTTCACTGGTGGTTGCGGAGAGGCGGCCGGCAAATGCCGCCAGGAGGATGGCGAGCCAGGCTGTCCCCTCTGTGCGCGTCCCTGCCATCTCTCATCGGCAGCACGGCGGGACGGAGCCAGTGCCGTGCTCTCCTCGCAGTGCTAGCGGCGGAGCCCAGCTAATCCAAATGCACTTTGCACACATTTGCTCACATCCACACAGGCGAACTGCATGGGAGGAGGGGACGGGCTGCCTGTCAGAGCTCCAAAGCCAATTGGATTCCCAGCCTCGGCCGAGATCCCTTCCCTCCCCCACCTCCCTTCTCCCCCCCCACCCCACCCCCAGTCACCACACAGACTGGGAAGAGAGAGCATATCCTGATATGAGAAGGGGGGCTCTTTTGTCCAGCTGCCTGCCGCTCCGTTCCCCTCTCCTGGCGCTGTTCAAACAGACCTTGCGGCTGCTGAGTCCTTCCGCAGGAGGCAGAATGTTTGCGGTTGCTAGGTAACAAAAAACTTACTGCCACAGCATCCTTCCTGGACCCTCTGCTGCTCCTCCCTGCTTCAGGTGGGTTATCAGGGTCTGGACAGGGCTCTTCTCAGTCAGATAGTTCAGGGACTAGGAAGAGTGCAGAAAGCAGGTGGTTGTAAACTAGGGACCCGTTCCCTGTCTCGTCCTTCCTCTGAAAGTCTGGGGGGTCCCAGTCGCTTTGCCTATACATGCCAAGAATATGGGGTAATATCAATTGAGACTGGAAAATGTTTGACACGGTTGTTCTCTAAATTGCCCTGAGCTAACCTGCTGTGTTAGATCTCTACACAGATTCATCTTTTTTAAAAAAAGTACTCAAAGTGATGCCGCTTTGAACGACATGAAAAGCGAAACTCTCGTTATAAACGAAATTCCCCTTGCAAACGAAACATCTTCAATGAGCAGCAATAATGTTATTGTTACTATTTATCGTAACGCTTAGCAGTTAGACAGCGATTTCCAGAATGCTGAAATCCTTACAACAACCCTGCAGGGCTGGTCAGTAAGATTATATTACATATTTTATTTATTTATTTATTTATTTATTTATTTATTTGATTTATATCCCACCCTCCTTGCATAGCAGGCTCAGGGTGGCTTACAGTAGGTTAAAATACATTAAGACACAGATCTATTGAAACAATGCAATCACGTAGTATGGGAGAGAAGCTGAGGCTGGGCAGCAAGGCTGAAATAGGGATGGGTTTGGACTTCTCACCTTTGCTCTCTCACAATGTGGAAAATAACTCATTTTGGTTTCACCTCTCCGGCATGCCAATTGGAACAGGTGATTCTTTATTATTGCGGCATTGTTCTGTCTCTTCCTGTCAAAGGTTTCTCTTAAAAGGTGCACATTTTTATTTGCATGTTAATAAATCAGCATTAGACAGTGTACGTATAAATAATGTACATTGTTATATATAAATTGTACATAAAACCGTATGACATGCATACATAATGCAAGCAAATCTACATAACCAATAGCAATAAGCGGAGAAAAAGAACTGCTGATTTTTACAAAAACGAACAAAAGGAAATGAAACAAAAGAGGGGCATTGATTCTTCCCTTGAATGAGACTACCCACTGAATTCATGACAAAGACAAGGTTCAATCAAGGAGCTCCTGATTAGTCTCTCAGCTAAGGGGTGCAGTTGGGTAACTTTAGACTCCAAAGCTTAATGGTTTGGTTTTACCCATAGAGTTTCTGGCCATTCCTAGAGCTACCCATTGTCACTTCCGGGTTTTACCCGAAAATGACATCGCAACATTGGTGATGTCACCACCATGCACACACGCCCTTGTCCCCACCCTCAGCTCTGGTGACCCTACTTGGGGTGCTCATCCGTTAGTCCTGTCTTGAAACCCACACTGTTCCTGACCTCTCTAAATCCTGGCCTAACCCATCATAAGACTAGACCTGTTTATACCACCACACCCAGGAAACAGCATGAAGAAGATGAAAAAAGGATCTCCTTTTTGGAGCCAATTTGAAGGAAACAATTTTTTAAATTAAAAAACCCTGACAGTGACCAGCTAATTCCATATTGCTGCAAATTGGGTCACCGGCAGGTGGGAAAATCCCTGCATGAGAAGGGCGGGACCTGTTTATAAGCTTCTCCGCGAAGCCCCCTCCTCATTGGCTGAGCTCCAGCTAAGCTCAGCCAGTGAAGTCTTGTGCTACATGTGAGTGACAGGGCAAGCACAACAACATCTGTGGATCAAGCAGAGCCTTGCATGAAGTTCTCAACAATTAGAACATGGCCTATATCTAATGAATCCAGATCGGAGTTAAAAACAGCCAGCCTCATGGATTTCAATTAGTTTCTGTGCTAATGTTGCTTACTGCCTATAAAAAGGTAAAGGTTTCCCTTGCTCGAAAGCCAGTCAAATCCGACTCCAGGAGGCAGTGCTCATCTCCGTTTCCAAGCTGAAGAGCAAGGACTGTCTGAAGACTTCTCTGTGGTCATGTGGCCAGCATGACTAAACGCCGAGGCGCATTGAATGCTGTTACATTCCCACCAAAGCTGCACCTATTTACCTACTTGCAATTTCTTGCTTTCGAACTGCTAAGTTGGCAGGAGCCGGGGCCAGAGACGGGAGCTCACTCCATCACGCGGCACTCGGGTCTCGAACTGCCGAACTACAGACCTTCCGGTCTGCAGCTCAATGTCTTAACCACTGAGCCACCATGGCCTTTTACTGCCTATAAAAGGCCTCAGTAGTCTGAATCCAGTTTCTTCTCCCTGTGTTAAGAACATCAGAAGAATCCTTCCTCTGGGTGACTCTTTTGTGGTTGTCTAATGATGAAGTAGGAGCCACTGTAGAGCCAGTGTTGTGCAGTGGTTATAGGGTTATAGGGTTGTCAGGAGTTGGAAGGGAAGGAACCTCAAGTTAGTAGAATGCCATCGAGCCCATTCACCATAGCAGTCGTTTTCTCCAGGGGATCTCTGTCATCTGGAAAGCAGCTGTAATTCCAGGAGATCTCCAGGCTCCACCTGGAGGCTGGCAACCCTAGAACTCACTGAAGTTGGCTTTCTGCATCTGAAGCCCTAGGGGCCAATCCTTCCCTTCCAAAATTGGGTTGATGGCACGCCGACACTCGCTGGGCTTGACTTCCTCCCTGCACAGCCATACCACCAACAGCTCCCATTCCACGGCCATCTCTCCCATCTGCCTGTCATCGGCCAGCCAGGGCTCCTGACCCCCCAACCCCCCCCCTTTTGGGGTAGTTCTGGGAACATCACTGTATTTACTGAAAGAGCAGCCATAAATAGAGTTGGCGTCAGGCCAATTTAAAACCAGTCTGGCTGCGTTGTTATTTTTGTGGGGGGGGGGGAATCCCACATAACAATGAAAACCCCCCACCGTCTTTAGACCAAGGCTCGGCTATGACTAATGGGGCCAGATTCTGGAAAAGCGGAAATGGCATCGCTCTTGGTCTCGTAATACAGGAGTTACTTTCTGGGACCACAGGCAGCCAAAGCCAGCTTTTAAGTAGCTCAGCCTGTGAATTCTAAAAAGGCTTTCCTGGTTCTCTCTCTTTCTCTCTCTCTCTCTCTCTCTCTCTCTGCCCCCCTTCCCATCTAAGTAGCTCAATCTGCAATGCTGAACGTATTCACAACCACACAGCCTGCTGCTGAGACACACAAGGCATCCACCCCTTGTCAATCATGTTTCGGCATCAAGTAACCTCCACAGTTTATACTTGCATACTTCCAGCCCAAATAGACATGAGAGAGAAAGAGGGAGGGGGGGGGAGAGAGAGACTGAGGATGATTTTGGAATTTCTCATCCCTGCGATTCTAGCCCCCAAGTTCCTGTTTCAATTTCACTTTCACTTCTCTGTCGAGCAAAAGAAAGTCTTTAATTCATCCCGTTTACTGACTGGTATTTTTCCTGGGGGAAAGAAATATGTGTTCTTTTCAGTGTTATGAATAGATCAGTGTTACGTGGTATATGTAAATGATGCATGGGCCCAAGGATTGTGGATCTTTACTGCATTCTTTTCCACCACCTGTCCCTCCTGACTCAACTAAAGTTGATTCCCTGGGGTTTGGGGACCCACATGAGCTAACAGTCATATGGGTCAAGGTGTAGGGGGAAGGGAGCAAGATTACTCTTCAGTCACAGGTGCTGGAGTTGCGGAAGAGGGAGAAGGGAGCCACGCTGTGTTTTCTCACACCATCTCCTGCTGTAGAATGTGCACATTTTCCAGTGTTGTTTGTAGGTCAATATGTGAGGATTAGACATTATGCAGGTGTTACAGGCATAAATTGCATAGAAAATTGCATAAAGTACCATGTAGCATGCATGCACCATATAAACAAATCCACAAAATCCAACAGCAGAAAAAGGAGGAATGTTAAACCTTTGGCAAAACGTACAAGGAAATGCAAGGAGAAATGAACTAGGGATGGAATATTCCCTCATACATCTCATACATACGGAGAGAGAGAGAGAGAGAGAGAGCACATGTAGAGAGGATACAGAGAGAGAGAGAGAGAGAGAGAGAGAGAGAGAGAGAGAGAGAGAGAGACGGAAATGAAGATTTTGTTTAGGGAGCTTTGAAAATTCTTATCTGGTTTTCGAATTACAGTGTTGCTGGTCCTGGGGCGAATCCAACCATCCTGTTGTCCCTTAACCAAGGAGAGTTGCAAATAAATCCAAAGTCCTATCAACACTTTCAGGATCTTTCCCAATTTATTTTAAACCTGGAGGATCAAGAAAAACAAATTGTACTTATTGTCGGTTGAAAAGGTACTCAGGCGGGATACTAGAGGTGTTCCTAGGTGTTGGGATGAGCAGATCCAGATATGGCCTTGCCTCATGGTGTTCTTACCTATGGATCTGACATTGTCTCTGATCAAGGGCTAAGGCTTGAGATTTGTTCTCACTATTGCTTAGCTCTTCCTCTCTCTGGGCTGCAGTACTTCAGAGCAGAGTATCGCATAATGGAAAGCTCTTTTTTTAATAAAAAAAAATCCCTGTTCATAGAACAATAGTATGCTAAGGCATCTAGAACCCTTCTTCCTGACAAGCTAGTTTTCTAAGTCTAGGGGATGCTTTGAAAGGAGGAACATTGTCCTGTTAGCCCTGAGAGCCAGTTTGGTGTAGTGGTTAAGAGCGCAGACTCTAATCTGGGGAAACTGGGTTTGATTCCCCACTCCACCACATGCAGCTGCTGGTGTGACCTTGAGTCAGTTACATGTTCTCTCAGAGCTGTTCTTTCAAGAGCAGTCCTTGAGAGGGCTCTCTCAGCCCCACCTACCTCGCAGGGTGTCTGTTGTGGGGAGGGAAAGGGAAAGGAGATTGTAAGCTACTCTGAGACACCTTCGGGTAGTGAAGGGCAGGGTATAAATTCAATAATCTTTCTTCTTCGTCAATTATTTGTTTGTTTGTTTGTTTTATTTATAATCCGCCCTCCCCACAAGTGGGCTAAGGGCGGCTCACACTGCCTGGCTCAATGCCTGGCTCCTCCTCCTCCTCCTCCTCCTCCTCCTCCTCTTCTTCTTCTTCTTCTTCTTCTTTTTCTTCTTCTTCTTTTACCTCACAGGGTGTCTGTTGTGGGGAGGGGAAGGGAAAGGAGTTTGTAAGCCACTCCGAGACTCCTTTGGGTCGTGAAGGGCGGGGTATAAATCCAATCTCTTCTTCTTCTTCTTTTACCGCACAGGGTGTCTGTTGTGGG